AACGAACCAATAAATAATTCAATATTTATAAGCTTCTATCTTTATTAAAAAAATATTTATGATATTGTAAAAGTCATATGTTTAGAAAAAAGTACAACATTAATATACAAAAAGCAAGGCAAGTATTGCGGAGTAAGCATAAAAAAGGCATTGACAAAGAAACAAGGGTTATTTTAAATATTTTTTTTAATTCTCACCAAGTATTCTAAATCTAAAGGTCATCTACGCTAAGCACAAATAGTTAGTAAACTTCGATTAGATTTTTTTACACAATAAATATACAGGAACAATATCATATTTAAATAAAAACTTATCTATTAATGAAGCATTGAAAGCTGAAAATTCAGTGTAGATTAATTGGTAGAAAAAAGAAGCGGAAATATGACATTTTTAAAAATAAAACTATTAAAATAAACCTGCAATAAATTTTTAGAGTTAATGAAATACGCTTATATTCTCTATATATTACTTTAAATCTAATTCGTTATAATATATAGTAAATAAAATATGAGTTAATGTTGTTTTAAGTATGCTCGAGGAATAGAATTTAGCTATAATATTTTCAAAATACATTCAAAATGTTTAATGTGAAAATATTTTTGCCTAAGTCTAATATTATTGTTGGTTTTCACACAAATTATATTTTTTTTATAGGCCGGTAACACCATCATGAGAAAAATCTTTATTTGGATTTCAAAGTATTTTAAAACTTCTGAAATTAAGCAATAAAAAAGACGAATCAGGCAAATTTTTATAATTTTATCTAAGTCTAATGAAATGCATGTTATTATACTTGAATTTAATATTTAAAGGTAAGTTTTTAACCAATGTAAATTCACCTACTATATATTTTCCATGAAATATAGCAGTATTGTTTACTTTTAAAATATCTAAAGATATTGTATAGCAGTTGAGGGATTGTTTTCAGAACCTTTATTTTTTGCCGTCTTTTACGAAAATTTAAAATATTTATTATTAAAATATTTCTTGAAAAAGTGCAATACAAAGTTTATAAGATCAAGAAACATAATAGAAAATTTCCGAACTTTACTCTATATAGAGAGATTAAAAAATATTTTTTTTGATTTGATAGTGAAAAAAAGAAAAGTAATTATGAATTTAAAATATTTCTCCCTAATTTCATTATTCATGTAATCATTTGAGACAATACAATATTTTTTCTTCTATTCTAGTATATATCACACCAATAAGATTTTGGAGATCTTCTTATAGATAAAACAGAAACAAAAAAAGTATTTAAATCAGGGTTTCTCTTAGAACCGAAAAAACGATAGAAATATATTGAATTTATCGTTTCTAAATAATTTTTAAAAATTACATTTTGATTTTAAACACTCATTAACTTCCAAATAATATATTTTAATATTTAAAAACACCAAATTTACAAACTTCTGAAAATAAACAGAAACAAAATATTATTAATAATGAATAAAATTTTCAAATTTTACCGTAAATAATGTTTAAAATTTACTAAAAAAACTAAAAAAAAACGTAAATTTTTTTACTCATCATAGAGTGTCATATCGTTATTACTTTCAAATATGCATTCTCCCGTACAACTTACAAGCGACTTACAGTACATATCATGAGAAGGTAGAACAGTAACACTTTCTTGATTATATATGTGTTTACTAACTACTAATTGTTTATTGCAATTAAAATATATTATTACTATTCTTACTACTATTATTAGATTTATTATCATCAAAGTAATCTACCAATCCTTTAATAAGATATTCACATCTCTTATTAAATGAACCGTGTATAATTTTAATATTATCAGTATAAACTGTACTATTAATATATTTAAGTGTAGATGGCCATACCTGTGTATTGAATTGGTGTAAAGAATAAGAATAAAGCTTATTATAATAAAGTGTATCGCGAGTTATTCTTATAGATAAGGCTTTACTTTTACAAATAGAAAGGCGAATATTTAATATTTTTAAATTTGAAAATTTATGAAGGGGGGTGTTATTTGTATGTAGTATGTTTAAAGGGGTGTTATTACCATCATTGTTATTTAAAGGGATGTTATCATTACTATTTTTATCACCCTTTATTCCCATGGATTTTAATAAATTTTCAAAGTTTAAATTCCTAGTAAATAACCCATTCTTATTATTTGAAGAGTGAAAAGAATAAAGAGTTTTATACTTGTTAGGTATGTAAGTTACAGTGTTATTCTTACAATAAGGATTTAACAAGTCTGTATTAAAATGAATAGGAGATAATACTTGATAAGCGTAAATACCTTCTATTACTATAACAGTAGGATATGTATTAGGAATATATGTAGGACCAGTAGATTGTTCTGTTATAAATGAGTAATTATATATTGGAATGTAAGGGTTATTTGGTGTTAAGACTAAAGGGTTTTATGTACGTTTAACCAGTCAATAGCTGAAGGGTTATCAAAATCGTATGTATTAGTATTAACACCCTTATGATTACTAGTACTATTATTAACACCCTTATGATTAGTAGTATTAATATTAACACCCTTATTATTACTTATATTGATATTAACACCCTTATGATTAGTAGTAGTATAATTATCCCCCTTTAAATCACCACTACATGTGTTACCACCCTTAAATTCACTAGTGTTGATATTAACACCCTCTAAGTTACTACCCTCATTCATAACACCCTTTATATCCTCGTTAGATTTACTCAGACTCTTATAATATTGGTCAAGATGTATAACATAAACAGATATATTGTGTTGTTCAAGGGTATTCTTAATATTTAAAGCAAGTGTAGATTTACCCGATGCACTACATCCTTGAATACAAACAATATATTTGTTTTGAGATGTAAAAGTGCTATATTGCTGTTTGATAATTTTAGTAAGTTTATGAAATGTGTCTCTGTTATTTGACCGATGTAGAGTCATAAGGAGGGTAATGTAGGGAAGGATGTAATTTATAGGATTAGAAGATAATAAAGGGGTGGTTTGTTGAAAGGAAAAGGAGGATATTTAATATGAATAATTGTGAAGAAAAAGGAGATTTGATTTTTCAATTTCATATGATTTGTTCTATTTTAAGCATTTTTTTTTATCAAAGGTTTTTAAAATTTGATTGGATTGCAATTATTTGAAGGTTCTGTTTATTGATAGGTTTTTTTAGTCACAGGTATACGTGTTGGTACATTATCTTTTAAATATGCATTGTAAACGTAGTAAAGATGATATAGTTGTTTTAAGTGTGACTTGGTTTGTAGTTTTTCGTTGATATTTTCTTGAGACATGACTTTCTATTTATAATTATATTTTATGAAAAAAAATGCTTTTTTATAGATGATTAGTTTATATTTTCTTTACGATTGATTTCTTAAGCCATAATTTCCTATTTTTAATTGTATTATTTGATTGTCTTAATACTGATTTTCTTTATCCTTCAAATAATATGTAATTAATTTTTTTGTACTACAATTGGATGATAATTTGTCATAAAATATATATTATATATATTGCTAAAATATTACATAATGCAATCAAATAAGAAATTATCTCGACGCTACACTTATAAAAAATACTTATTATATTTAATTCTCTTCATAAGTCATAAGTCATAAGTCATAAGTCATAAGTCATAAGTCATAAGTCATAAGTCATAAGTCATAAGTCATAAGTCATAAGTCATAAGTCATAAGTCATAAGTCATAAGTCATAAGTCATAAGTCATAAGTCATAAGTCATAAGTCATAAGTCATAAGTCATAAGTCATAAGTCATAAGTCATAAGTCATAAGTCATAAGATTTGTAATTTGATACAAATCTTAAAAATAAACTTATTAGATAACCCTTGTATAGGGCGTTATATAACTAAAATTTTATGGAAAAATATATAAAGTCTATCTTGCTTGATATTATCTATCAGTTTTTATTCTTATGTCCACTCTTATTTCTGCATACTCATTTTATAAATTATATTTGAGAATCTGACTCATAATTCGTTTTAAAGACTTAAATTTATATTTATTTTCGAAAAGTAGGTTTATTAGCCAAAAAAATTTCATTATAAAATTTATTAAAAAAATAATCATGTCTTGTAGATCAAACTTAATTAATAATTTTAGAGACTAATTATATCAAAATATCTATTTTTTAAAGTAACAAATTCAAAAATTATATATTTGGTGAATAATACTATATTCTTAAACATTTATTCCTTTAACCATTCAACTGTATTAAAAATCAATAAATTTACAATATTAAGTACTATGTGTAATTTTATAATTTTGATCTCAGTAAAAAAAATCTTTTTTTTAGTTTAAATAACTTAAAATTTAATGTAAATTGAAACTCAAATCTAATTATTATTTCATATATGAAAATAATTATTGCTGTTCGCACTTTTTATATTAAATCAAAATAATTTAAAAACGTTATGATATTATTTCTAAACTAAGAGAATACATTTCGTTTTACGCTTAAATTCAGATCAAAAGATGTAATCTGTACAAAATATGTTGAGTGGACATACCCAAGTGTTTTCTATTACGTCAAGTAATAAATTATAAGATGTGGAAGGAGGATAACCACATTAAAAACTTCCTGTTTAGTAATGAACGTCTAAAATACGTATTAAAATTATTGCTGCCGTTGTTGTGAGATATAAACCACACCGAATCTATAGGCCATTCCCCTATAATCCCGTGTTACAATGATTAAAAGAAACAGATGGAAAACATTCATTTGTTCATCCTCGACACTGAGAGGTAAAAGAGGAACGGAATAAGCAAGTAATTAATTATAAGGGTAGGGTAGAATAAAAAATCTTAAAATTATTTTTAATCAAACCTTGTGAAATTTATATCTAAAAAAGTAAATTTTCGAATCAATTTTTAAATAAAAGATTTGGCTAGAAGTATCTATGTTATAATGTAAATAAAGTATAAAAATTCTAAAATAAAAAAGGAGATATTCACATTGTACTGAAAAATTTATAGTTTACGGTAATCATAAAAAGTGACCAGGACAGGATTCGAACCTACAACCTATCGAGTGCCAATCGAAGAGCGTCATCCTTGCACCGCCTGGTCATAAAATTCTGTATTATGCTATCAAATAACAAATCAAAAAAATGGCTCAAAATTAAAAAAATTTAATCTGCCTGACCAATAGCATCATATAAAATTTATTTATTTAATATTTACTTGGTTCTCTTTCAATAAATGATTAGCTTATATTGTTTTTACTTTCTACTTGTGATTTATTTTACTGCCAGTTTTTAATTTTCATTTTATATTTGGATCTATTTACAATATTTTTTAATCATAAAGATAAAAATTTATCTCAACAACTCTTATGTCTCTTTATAATGTTTTTTTTAGAATTTATTTCCTCATTCTGATTAGAAAGTTCTTATTTTCTTCTAAATCAAATAAACTTTTTATAAAATTTTCTATATAATTATATTCTTTTTGTTAAAAATAATCAAAACTCTTAACATTTTTGCTAAAAGTTTATTTAATTTAGAAAAAAATAAGAACTTTCTAATATCAAAGTAGGATATATAAGGACTATCAAGTTATGAAAGGCATTCGGATAACTTTTTCTGGGATGTATTTTTAACAGATGCAATATAAAATTGATTAAATTATTTTTAATTCTAAAAGCCTCGACAAAATAATTGAAAAATATTTTAAGTTTACTTTGAAAGCTCCTTTTTAGTTAAATATTGGTTAAGGTGCAATCGTCTGTTATACGATTTTTTCTAAATATTTAAAAATTTGTATCCATTGAATGTAATTCTATTTTCTACTGTAATATATACTAGTTTATAATTTGAAATTGTTGTAGTTTTAATGTGTGTAAATATTTTTTTTGTAAATAAAAGTGATAAATCTATATTTTTATAGCAAAATATGGTAAAGCCTGCATTCCATATCAATTTTAGAAAATATAATCTTCATATATTTTATATTCCGTATATTTTTATAAAATATACATAATCTGATTTACTACAATTAAATTTAATTTATACCAGTAATATAGTTACTTCGAAATATGAATTAAAGATACAAGAAAATCTTCAATTATTCTTTTATATTTATTGGTGTTTATTATTTCTGAGTTATATTTACTGTTTATTTCGTAGGTAAAAATAATTAAAAATACAGAAAGAAACGAAAAAGAGTATTAAAGATTTAAATAATTATATAATGCATCGAATCAAGAGTAAAAAAAGGAGGGCATAATATACCAAATTAAAATTTTGATCATGAGTTTCTGTCTTGTGAAATCTTCTTTGCAAAAAATATTTATTTGTAAAACATTTTTTTTTATAATTTCATTCAATGATTTCATAATTACGTAGTTTCTCAAGATAAATTTAATATTTTAAATAAAACATTGACAAATATATTTGGGTAAAATTTTATTGGCTATTTGATTCTTTTTTTTTCAACTCTATAACTTGATTTAATCCTGTTTTTTAAGAAGATTTAGAGTAGAAAGTGAAAGAAAATTACTTGCAACTCGTTTAAAATAATAAATAATTTTAAAGTAAAAAATGAAATTGAAATCCACTGAGCAGAAATATGAGAAGTTTGAAGTGCGAAAATGAAATGAAATTTAAAAGAAATGATTTTAAACAAATATTATAAATAAAATACTCACAAAAATAAAAAATTAATTTTTATAAATATATTTTAATTTATCTTTTTATAAAATGATTAAAATAAACTTTAATTGCGTTTACTTTTACCCTTTTATGATTTTGAAAACCATAAGAACAATCTTCTTCTATTTTTTATTCTTTACAGACTTAACAATTCATTTCTTCTCAAAACAGTATTTGAACCGGATGAAATATGGCAGAATCTTGAACCTATAAATTATATTTTTTATACTAAAGGAACACTTACATGGGATTGGATGATTGGTATAAGATCGGTTAATTATGTTCTTTTATATTTTATACCACTTTACTTTTTTAAGATATTTAGCGATGTTTTTAGATTTTTTTGTCTGGTTTATATACGGAATAATTTTAATATTTTTTTGTTTTTGAATTTTATATTTCTTTGTCTTTTATGTTGTTTTACTGTGGTGTTATGTATTTTTAAATTAACTGATTCTGGTAGGTTTCTTATTAACGAAAAGACCAAAAATAGAAATCAAATTATTAATTGTCCTAAAGATGATGTTGCTTTAAAATGTATGGGGAAAAAAGAGGTTTTAAAAATAAGGAAAACAAATTTTCAAAATAATAATCTCGAAAGATTTGGTTTAAGACAGATTATAGGATTTTTAAGCCATCTAAATATACTAAATAATTTATATTTGGTTGTTTTGGTAATATTGGAGTCGAAATATCAGTTTTTTGATGAAATGGTAGTCAAGTATTCAATCTTACCTTTGTATGGTAAATATGGATATTTGGTTTCTAAAATAGTAAATGGAATAATCGCGGGGTTGGCAGATTATCTTATAATAAAACTCGGAACTATTTATAAAGCAGACGAGGATACACTTATCTATGTTACTGCGCTTTCACATGGATTGTGGTTATATTCCCCTCGATCTCATATAAACTCTTTTGAACTTTTTATGGCTGTATTGTGTTTATATGCTCTAGAAACATTTAAAACACCTACAATTCCTTTTTGTGTTTGTGTTTTATTTTCTATTTACGTTCAAGTATTTTATTTTTGAGTGGTGTTCATATTTTTTTTGCTGTTTTCCAAAAAAATTATTCATCAATCGAAGATGATAAAATGAGAAAGAATAAAAAGAATCTTCCTGAATCTAATAATTTACAACTGGAAAAATTAGAATGTAATGAAACAAATAATAATGATTGCAACCAGTCAAAAGATAGAACAGAAAATGTAAATCCAGTAACTTGCTCTAAATTGCATAGCATAGTTAATTATTTGAAGCTTGTGAAGGTATGTTGTATTTGTCTTTATATAATACGTATGATTAAGAATAAATTCGTTGAAGCGTTTTTTAAAATAAGAAATATTTTTTGTAGTAAAACAGATTCCAAAATCGATGAAAATTTAAAAAAATCTGCAAATGAAAAAAATACTGATTTTAATAATTACAAAGAATGTTTCTATTCTGAGAAAGATAACGAACAACTCAAACTTGCAGATAATCAAGTAAATTATAAACAAGATAATAAATATAATCATTACGAAGAAAATATCTCTTACAATGATGCAAAGGAATGTTATAAGCCAGAAGACAAAAGCAATGATTATAAAACGAAAGAATCTATCAAAGATACAAAAAATAAAGATATTTACAAATCTGATGATACACATGGCCAATCTAAAATCAAAGGACAAATAGACACAGAGGTTTCTGTTATAAATTCTAAGATTAATGATTTTGAAGATGCTGAAGATCTTGATTTATATAATAGATATGGTAGAAGAGTATTAAGTATTATCATGGTATTTATAAAGAATATACCTTGTTGTCTTTTATTAGTACTATTGATGGCTTTGGTGGACAGTTATTTTTATAAGGAATTAACATTTGTTCCTTTTGTATTTTTTAATGTAAATGTAAGGTGGTCAGTAAGTGAAGTGTTTGGCGAACAACACGTACTAAGTTACGTATGGTTTTTCATTGTTTTAACAGGTTTTACTGGTACATTTTTATTTTTGAATTTTAACGCCAATCAAAATATTGCTATATCTGTTTTAATTTATTTAATATTTTATTCTGCATTAAAGCATAAAGAAATGCGGTTTATTGTCCCTGTTATACCTTTTTGTAATCTTTTATGTGCTATAAGTATTAATAAAATGTCTTACAGAAATACGGGTGGTATAAATTATATACGTAAAAAGTTATACTCCGGTGTTTTATATGTTGATCTTTATATAACATTTTTTATAGGACTTTATATCGGATTGGTACATCAAAATACTTTTGATATTAGTTTTTTTATGAAAACAGAAGTCGAAAAAATACTGACAGAAAGTTTTTTTGCAGCAAATACAGATTTGGATTTCTACAAGAATAAAAATATAAAGAATTCGGAAAGAAATAAAATCGAAATATCTGTTGATTTCCAAAATGTATTGGGTAAAGATATATCTGTGGTCCAAAATACAAAAAATATTGAAATACTTTATTTTGTCTGTCCATATTCTTTACCAGTATATTCTTTTATTTGCTATGAAAATGTAAATATAAAAAGCGTTTCTAGAAATCCTGACATAACAGTTAAAATGAAAGATTTAGTTGTCTGTAAAAGATTTGATGGGCAAAAAGTTATTTTCTATGAATATGAAATGTATATGGATTTATTGGAAGCCACAAGTGAAAGTTATAAAACGCAATTGGAAAGCAAAAAGGATAAAAATAATAAAATAGATAATGACAAAATTGTAGATGAAAAAGTCGAAAAAGAAATGAGAAATAATAACAATAGAGATGATACTGATAATGCCTTTATAGACAAATCTATTAATAACTCTTTTGAAGGATATGACTATATTTTAATTTATAAGCATATTTTTGAAAAATATTCTAACGTTTTTTACGAATATGAAATTATAAATACTTTTAAATATATCCATGTACTGTTTGAAGAAGAAAAAGGATTTATATGTTAGTTTTAAAGAGTAAAAAGTATAATAATCATCTATAAAATATTAAATTGCTTGATTCATACGATAATTTTTAGGTTTACATCATTTTTACATTTTTAATATTTGGCAATTGTTTCTTTGAAATAGTATATCTAATATCTAATATCTAATATCTAATATCTAATATCTAATATCTAATATCTAATATCTAATATCTAATATCTAATATCTAATATCTAATATCTAATATCTAATATCTAATATCTAATATCTAAATAAGAAATTTTTGGTCTAGAAAATATTATTTATAATGAGATTTATAAAACGAATAAGGCTTAGTAGAAAACAGCTTTTGGTTTATAATTACATATCAAAATATATTTATTTTTTTAGTAAAAATGGGTAGAAGGAAAAAAGTAGACAGCGGAAATATAAGAAATGAAAAAATAAAGGCTGTAAACAACCTGGAGAACACCGCAGTAGAG